CTGCCCTGGGGCAGCTTGAGGCCGGTTCCCCCCGGTAACCCCCGTCCTCCACCCTGGGGTGTCTCAGCAGCAGCTTTCATTTCCTGACTGCAGATCAGCTTTAAACTGTAAATCTCAGTGGTGGAAGGAAAGGGCTTTATGGCGTGTGCCCTCCCTCGCTCCCTCCCTCCCTCCTGCCGCAGCATCTCGCCTGAAGCCTTTCCCAAAACGATGCCTTTAATGTTACCAAGGGAGAAGAACCTGCCCTGGGATGGTGTCTCCCGGTTCTGCCGCTGCGGAGGCATTGGAGCCTTCTGTCTCCCAACAACCCGCTTCCTTCTGCAAGGATTACAGATGGGAGAGCAAACCCTTTTCTCTTACCTGTGCTGTCAGAAAGGAGCCAGCGTCGCGAACTGGCCTTTCCTGCTCTGGAATTTACCTCTCTTTGTTCAGCATTCCCACAGGGACAATCAGGTGCTGGTAACGGGAGCTGCAGTGAGGGTTCTGGAATAGGTGGGGGCTGAAACAGGCTGCTGGGTCCTCGCTGCTCCGCGGTGCTGGAGCCGGTGCAGCCGGAAGGGTTCATCCTGACATTCCTCACATGTTCTACGGATGAATTTCTGGCTCGTGGTTACCCAAAGGAAGCAAATCATGAAGCACTCCTGATGCACGCAATGGGCTTTTCCATCTTCCCATTGAACGGAGGTTGTGGAACAGCTTGGGATGGCCCCAGGCTTGGGGAAAACCTTCCTGTGCCCCTTTATTCTCAGCTTAAACTCTCGCAGGTTCACTGGGCTCTTCTGTACTTGAGTTCCTCGGGTTGTTCTCTCCGGTTCCTCTGGGTCTTAAAAGCACACACTGAAGCTTCACAAGGGTGTGTTTGGGGTTGAGTATCCGTGTGGGCACATCTCCTACCTAAAACACAGCTGCTCACTCGAGGAGTGAAGCAAGGCTTGGGGTGGAAGCTGGTTTGTCAGACCAGCTGCTTAGGCTCTAGGTTAGAAGCACAGCTCCAGTTTGAGGTGCTGGCTCATGGAGTGTGGGGCAGGAGCTTGACTACACCGTGGAGACCAAATCTTCCTTCTGCCTCCTGCTCCTGATCTGCCGAGCCGACTGTGTGTGTGTTTGGTGTTGTGGGGCCTCCGGTCCCCCTGGGGCGATGGCTGCAGCAGCATCACTGCTGGCCTCAGGCCTCGTTTGGTTAAGAACTAATGAGAGATCCTCCTGAGGGACGTTAGACAACACGTGTGTGCGATGGCAGAGGTGGCTCAGGTGAGGCAGGCAGCTCAGATCCAGCTCCAAGTGGATGTTTCCCCCTCCCCATCCCTTAAACCATGGGAATACCGCACCATGTGTCCTCTTCAAACCTCCTTTTTCTCAGCTGGGAAGCGGTCAGCAGCACCTGAGCCGTAGCGGAGGGGCGGTTTGGAGCTGTTGCATCCCTGTCACTGGGGAGCAGGAGCACTTAGTTCCATCAGGACCGTGTCTCTGGTGCTTTTCCAGGCTCACAAACCCGTTCTTGCTTGTGCCGCAGCCACGACAGGGTGCCGTGTCCCCGGCGGAACAGGCGGGACAGCGATGCCTACAGGTTCGAAGAGCGGAGCCCGTCCTTTGGAGAGGACTATTACTCGACCCGGGCGCGGAACTGGCGGCGTTCCAGAGGCCGGGAGCAGCACCGCGCCAGGAAGCATCAGCACCACTGCCGGAAGCGCAGGACCAGGTCTTGTAGCAGTGCCTCCTCGGTGAGTAGCATCCAGAACGAGTTGAGGATTGCTCAGGGTTTTAACTGTTCTTGCCTCCTTCCAGCTCGGAGCACTGGGTGAGTACCTCTAATCCCATTCCTCTGTGTGTGTTTGCATTGCAATGTGGAACGTACATGTCCAAAACCTGTGTCTTGTTAAGCAGGGAGTGTTTGTAGCTCTTGGTTTCGCACAAGTCCAGCCCCCTTGTGTAGCCTGAACATGTGAGGAAGCCAAGCTGTGCTCCGTGCAGCCGGGGAGGGGAGCAGGGCAGGCCTCGAGTGGCACACACGTGGCAGGCCA